TCATCTCGGCCTCCACGGCGGTCGTCGTCCATCCGATGATCGTCACCTCGGCGACCACGTCGGTCGTCATCACCTCGACGATCGTCACCTCGGCCACCACGTCTGTCGTCACCTCGATGGGAGTCGTCCATGTGGCGATCATCTCGGCCACCACCTCGTCCTCGACGATCATCATCTCCTCTGCGTCCATCATCGCGTCCACGGCCCCGACGATCATCTCGCACGCGGTCGTCGCGACCACGGCCCTTGCGGCCATCATCCCGTCGGTAGTAGGGCGATCCAGCGAGGTCCGAGGTGACGTTCTTGGCATCTGTGGAGGGTCCCGAGCTCAGCATGCCAGCCCTTAGCGATTCACGCAGACTAACAAGCCCCGTGACAACAGTGATCCTTCCTGAATGGGTGGCCCCTGCAGCAGACTGAGTGTTTGTCCAGGGCCTGGGGCTCAAAGAGTTGTAGTCCCGAAAACTACATACCATGATCCTTGCTTTGATAATTAAAATATGGTTTGGGTTAGACGATAATCAGATATAATTAAGAGAGTTAGCAACACTAAAATGAATAATCTTGATGGGTTTCCAATCCCTACATTGGTCACCATGTCGTGTGTCGAAGATTGCCACAGTACCCAGGGACTCCAGTATCCCTCAGTTAAGGAATATACCTTAAATTATAGTAGGATCCCTAATATGATTTAAGGTCTATTCCTTAATTAAGGGATCCCTAAACCCTAAACCCTAAACCCTAAACCCTAAACCCTAAACCCTAAACCCTTAATTAAGGGATGTTGGAGTCTCTGGGTACCTAACCGAAGGCAGGCAAGCGGCAGGCGAAGCCTCTCCATAGCGCGGATTCGATCGTGCACGGTCTCATTCCACCGATGAGGACCTGCGTCCAGAGACTCCAATATCCCTTAATTAAGGAATATACCTTAAATCATATTAAGGATCCTACTATAATTTAAGGAATATTCCCTAATTAAGGAACATTGGAGTCTCTGGGTGCATCCAGCTTAATATCGGGGTTTTGACAGTTAGAATGGGGTTCTGCAGTATGTCCTATAACGGAACCCTAAGGACATGTATTTTTGATTGTTCAGATATCGGACTCGGGGGACGGCACGAACATTCTAAGCTAACGGATAATAGCATCCGACCACCTGCCAAGTTGGAAAACATCCGAACCCTTAAATCCGAAATCCGAGACAGCAGATTATGAGCAAATGCACCCTTGAATTCCTCAACCCTGCGACAATAAACCTCCAAACCCTCAGTCCAAAATCCTAGAAAGGTTTCTAGGGTGTTAGGGCTTTTAGGGTTCAGGGTAACCCCTCGAACACTACAAAACCTCACGCAGACCACATCTTTTTTGGACCCGGTCCTGTGGCATATCCCCACGCCAAATCGGGTCTCACCTGCACAGCTCCCTAAACCCTGCCTGGACACTAAAGAACCTGCCCTTATTCGGGTTCCTGATCATGATTTCCTACATAAGTATCATAAGTCTCCTTTAAACCCTAAACCCTAAAACCTGAAGGATGTAGGAAATTTGGGGTCAAGGAAATCCGTGAACCCAAAACGGAAACTAGACTCTCGAAGCTAGGGTTCTGGCTGTCGGGGGCTTAAGGGGGTAGGGTTTGAGGGTTCAGGCTTTTGGGTTTTTCCCGGTTTAGTTGAGGCTTATAGCTTGGGGTTTCAGGGTTTTGGGTTTGGGGAGGGTTTGGGGCTCGAAGGCTTTAGAGTGTCAGGGTTTTTTCAGTTTGTGTGTTTAATGACGGTTTAGGGTTTAGGGGAGACTCCCCAGAGGCTGTGTCACCCCAAACCCCAAACCATCATCGTGCTCGGCGTGGGATGCTTCCTTGTGTAGTGGGTGGGGCTTAGGCTTTAGAGTGTTTAATATAGGGGCCTCGATAATCAGAACAGGGTTTTTGCCTAAGTTATTCGAGTAGAACTATACGTGGAGCCCAGGGTGATATTGTTAATCATGATTCAGACCTCTATGTATTTATATATGTTTTCTATATCTAATTATGTATATCTATATAATAATATATGTAAAATTTATATGCTTATATATATATATATATATACACCTGTAAATGTACGTATACCCGTAATTATCTGTATCTATACATTAGGTTTCTCAGCGCCAACCCCACCAAGTTTTTAAGCCCTGAACCCTCAAACCAGAAAAGCTTCGAATCCTCGACCTGTCGGCGTTCTTCAGAGCTGGGTGTGAATGGTGTAGGGCTTAGGGTTTAGGGTTTAGACTTCAGGGTTTAGGATTTAGGGTCGAGGTGGTGGGGTGGGTAGGGCGAAGGTGGTGGGGGTGGTGGGACTGGGAGGAGGGAGAAGTCTATGCTGCACAACTGGAGCCTAACTCACCATCCTACTTGGCATGCTGCCTTCTAATTCCAGAAACAGTTGTTTCAAATCTGACTACCAAAGACCCCCACTTCGGAGAGTTCAACACTTTCATTGCCACTCAATCTTGCTTGATGCCTGAGTGAGGCTTCATATGCAGTTGAGGACCAAAGAAATGAGTAGGATCTTAGGCTTCGGCGTTACACTCTCTGGAGGACGAGTCTACCCGGTGAACCACGCGAAGTGTGAAAAAGCTCTCAATCTTAGTCATAACCCATGATCGAGGCCTGAAAACCGTCCATCCTAAAGCTTTGCACCCGGAATCCCTGAAACTTACCCACTGCTCCCACAACCTCACGGAAGAAGCCTCGGAGCCTGTAGAACCAGCACTACAAAAACCTTATCATCCCAAAAGAAATGCTGCAGAACATACCCCAAACCCTCTCATAGCAGGCTACCCGTTTATCCCTATAGAATCGTGCTAGAATATTACATCGCCAGACCCTATTATGGCAAGCTACCTGAAGGAGATGGACCGCATCCTCATCCCGCGGGTGTCCTGCCTTGCGTTCGTTGCGAGACCCACCGGTTTGGGATTTTAGGGTTTAGGGTTCAGGGAGTTTGGATTAAGGCTCTTTTTGAACACCTCTTTTCCGATCTGCCGTTGGGGTTATTTAGGATTTAGGGAGTGTTGAGTTTTGTTTAGGTTTAGGGGTCGAGGGGTTCAGAGGTGTTGTTTCAAAATCTATTTGGGACTTTGGAGCTTTTTGAGACTGGACCTGGACTTTGGGTTCTGAGGGCTGCAGATTGCTGCGGATGACGTGTGCCTGAGGTAGGTGCCGAAATCTGGAGCTTAACCCTAAACCCTAAACCTTAAACCCGGCGAGCTCAGACAAGGGTAGGCAGGCACGGCTTGTAATATAGCGGCCCAAATAATATTTTGGGGGGTTCCTTATTATAACTAGAGTATAAGGCCCCTATATGATAGCGGCACTTATGGGGTTCATATGCAGAGAGAGCCCGCTGCCACTTTGACGCAGGAATATACATATCATCACGACAGAAGCCCGACATAACGCGCACAGTTCCTCCTTCCCCCACTAGACGGTATGAACTCTCGGTGCAGTACTGGCGGATGCAGATTTGGGATCCGGATACCTTGCCTCGTGCCTCTGCGATTCTGGTGGCTTGGCGACAGGATATCCATCGAAATCCCTACTTTCAAACCCTATACACCCAGTACAAGGGACTTCGAAGTAGAAAAAAACCGCTATGGATTAAGATCCCTGAACCCTAAACCCTAAACTGAACCTTAAACCCTAAACCCTAAACCCTAAACCCTAGGCCCTAAACCCTAAACCCTGAACCCTAAACCCTAAACCCTAAACCCTAAAGTTGCTCTGTTTGAATAGGGAGTCACGGGCCTCGGAGGTCTCCAAAAGTGACGTCTTTTCGGCCTCCTGAAAAGGGGCTTCGTGGGCTTTAGGGTTTAGGGTTTAGGGTTTAGGGTTTAGGGTTTAGGGTGTAGGGTTTAGGGTTTAGGGTGTAGGGTTTAGGTTTTAGTCATACTGTTTTCGGGGAGTTCACGGTTTGACGGTTTAGGAACTAATGTTGGGGCTTCGGGCTCAAGTTTTTTGTCTAGATGTTTGCGAGGTTATGGTTCTCGATATAACGCCACTTGGGCAGGTGAGGCCTGCCACCAGAGCGTGGATTTTGCTGGCTGTTGCCCAGTATTGCCCCGTCCTTTGACGTCATTGAACTTTTAGCAGCCTCCCATGCTCGGGGTGTCGATCCCTTACATGACATTGATGCCATTTCAGGACAAATAGACACAGAAAAACAACGAATAAAGACAAGTAAAGACGCCTAAATGCACACTAGGCTCACTAGGCATGGTGGTGTCAAGGGCTCAGTGCTCATATGTCTCCAGGGATCTAAGCCACGAGGATCTGAAGCTGCCAAAGAGGCAAAGGATGACACCAAGTAACGGAAACCCTAAACCCTAAACCGGACCAGAGCTGTTCTGTGAGTTTGAAAATCTTCGGGGGGAGGGGGGGGGGCTCTTCGAGCTTGTCGGGTCGTGGTGTTTGGGCCTTGCTTGGGTCATAAAACTTGAGGTCAGGGCTTCGGGCTTAGGCTTTAGAGCGCTGAAGCTCTAGAACCGAAGCTCTATGCTAAAGGAAACTACAGGTGGGGAGTTTAGGGTATATAGGGCTTCTATAAGGCTTCAACTTACCCACCTGAAAATGTCCTAGACTATGCAAGCCCCAAATAAAGCCTCGGCCGGCTCCAGACCCAATGAGCCCTACAGAAGCCCTGCATACACCACAAGCGGAGCCGTAACTGCTGACAGAAAAACCCTGGAAAACTAAGCAAAGTACGGTAGATTTCTTCAACACTTCTGGACATGTCTGGTTGTCAAAATTTATGGTCCCTTTTTGGGTCCTTGTTATAATACGGCACCTATTGTTTAGGGTACCCCAAAAGGGACCATAATTTTGACAACTACCCACATGGAAGACCCCAAACCCTCACAGAGAGGTTTCTCCTCCCTGTCACGCTTGATGGGGTCAGCCGCTTGGATGGTTTCGACGGCATCCTGCACGTCGCGGCATGAACTTGAGAGCCCTAAATATGCCTGCTGGCACTCGGCAGAACAAGCGTGAAAGCCATGAGAATATGCTAACCCCTATTATCGCCATAACACTGAGAACCGTAATTAATGATGTAGGGTTCAGAAGGTTCAGACTCGAGGGCTCTAGGGTTGAAGCTTCTGGGGCTCGGGGGTTTAGGGCTGTAGGTTCAGGGGTCTGGGGTTTGAGATTCGGATTGAGGGTTCAGGGGTTGAGGCCTTCGTGAGTCTTATGTCTTATAGTAACCTTCTTTCTAGAAACCCCTGCGTAGAATACCCTTCAGTACCCATATAATACACTTGCAGTACCCTCGGGGTATCCTTATAGCTCCCTGGACTCCCTAAACCTCTTAGAGAGCCCTTACAGTAGCAACAGTAATAAGAGCAATAATCGGTTTTAGTAAGAACATAACAAGAAGAATATTGATAAGAGTAAGGCAACAAAAAAAAAAAAAGCTCCTGGAGGGCTTTCAAGTAAGCGAAAGAGTGGAGGTGATCCGGCTCCAGCACCTCGGGCTCGGGGTTTAGGGTTTAGGGTTTAGGGTTTAGGGTTCTGTTAAGGTGTACCCTGAAGCCTAGGCCCTAAACCCAAAGCCCTGAACCCTGAACCATAGACCGGCTCCTTGAAGAGTTCCCTTTATAAGATCCGCCTTGAATGCTCTGGAGCCGCATTGGGGCTGGAGGGCTTGGGGTTTGGGGCTTAAAGGGTTTGGGGTCTAAGCGCTTACTGCCTGGGGCTTCAGGCTTGGGCTTAAGGTCCTGTAGTCCTATGGGTTTCGAGCTCGTACAGGCCCACATACTTAGAACATTCAGGCTTTGAGGGTATCTTCCAGGGTTTAGGCTTTCTTTTACTTTGCCGGGGCAGGCACCCTAAACCCGAAACCACTAAACCCTAAACCCTAAACCCTAAACCCTAAACCCTAAACCCTAAACCCTAAACCCTAAACCCTAAACCCTAAACCCTAGCCCTAAGTGGGTGTTAGGGCTTACGGCCTTAGAGCTGAAAGATCCAATGAGACGGTCATCGGAAGCCCCTTTGGTCATACACGGCCCTTGCTCCAAGCAACGCGAACCGGATCCTGCATTGCCTTAAGGCTAAATTAGGGTTTAGGGTTTAGGGTTTAGGGTTTAGGGCTAAAACCACGGCAATATTCAGAAAGGTATCTGTACTACCTGGCCTTGAGCCTCCTACGTAAGCAGACTGCTCTCGCACTGAACTTGATCTAGGATTGCCCGGAGGTCCCTTAGCCAGGAGTTTTCTTTCAACACGCGCGGTTCTCGCTGAACATTTCGCATTCCAGAACTCGTTCCTCAAGAATTGGCAGCTCGATATCACAAAAGCACAAAGTTTGCCCTGCTTAAACAAAAGCACAAATTTGCCCTGCTTAAGGTTGACGACGGAACTGCGGCTTTGAGGGTACGTAGCACTGTGGATTCAGATGTAGAGCACATTTCAAGGGTGGGCAGTGCTCTAAATTAGGGTCCCTTTTAGGGGCCCCTTTTATAAGGGTGCCGTACTATATTGGGGACCCAAAAAGGGACACTAATTTAGAGAACTACCCATATCATCGGGAGTGCCAGTCCAAGGTACGCCTTGCTCATTCCACTCGTTCCAGGCGGCGATGAAGTAGAGATTCTCGTTGATGCGACGGTTAGGAGTGTGGCTCATGTTACCTCAGCTCCGGCTTCAGCAGATGGCTTCAACAGCTTCAGCGCCTGATGAGCCAAGACACCTCGGAATCTTAAACCCCAAAAACACCCTTAGACGCTTGCACAACTCAAGCTTGCGAACTGGGCGCTTTGAAATGCACACGGAGATTTCGCACATGGGACAGCCCCCAAGCACGAACCCAAGCTGCCCACAGCCACCTCCTCTAAAGCCATGGATGCCATGCGCAACACGATCACCCCCAAAAAATCAAAGTCTAATTGGTCAGAACCCCCCCCGACCCTAGACCCTAAACCCTAAAACCCTAAAACTCTAAAACCCGAAAACCCTAAACCCTAAACCCTAAGCCGCAAATTAGTTACAAGCCCAAAACCCTTTAAACCCGATGCAAGGCAAGGCCTGCAGCAGGAAGAAAATGGCTGCACAGCTTCTGGAAACTACAAAACACTGAACCCCGAAGTCTAGTCTCTGAATCCTGACCCCCTAAACTTCCAACCGCCGAACCCACAACCCTAAAACCCAAAGACTCGAACCCCAAAGCTCTGAACATGAAACCAAGCGGCGGAAGGACTCGATAAGGCCCGTTTTGAACTCCTGGCGGGGCTCTCCATAACTCTAAGGTTGAAACCATGGGCCACTAGTAGGGGCCCTTAGGTCTGGGATCCTTAAATACCTACTATATACCCTCATATGTACCCGTAAAGGGAGCCTAGAAAGGCCTAAGGGTCCATATTAGCCCATACTTCTAGCCCTAGAACAACGATGCAAAGGCTGAGGGAAGGGCCCCCAGGGCTTCGGCGCAGATGATTAGGGTTTAGGGTTTCGGATTTAGGGTTTAGGGTGTAGGGTTCAGGGTTTTGAGTTTTGGGTGTAGGGTTTCGGGGTTTAGGGTGTTGGGTTAAGGGCTTTAGGGTGTAGGATTCAGGGTTTTGGGTTCAGGGTGTAGGGTTTCGGGGTTTAGGGTGTAGGGTTAAGGGTTTTAGGGTGTAGGATTTAGGGTTTGGGATTTAGGATTTGAGGGTTCTAGAAGCCTCTATAACTAGACGGGTTCAAAAAACCCAAAGTTCAAAGCCCTGAGCTGGGGTGCCTCGGGACTGGCCCTGTAGCGCTGGGAGCAGCCCCGCACGCGGTTGTCGAAGCCAGTGGTGGCACCCCAATACCTCAAGGTTTAGGGATTCAGGCGTTTAGGGGTTTAGGGTTAAGAAGCCTCGGGGCTATAGGGCTTTAAACCCCTAAACCCTAAACCCTAAAGGGGGCTATAGGGCTTTAAACCCCTAAACCCTAAACCCGAAAGGGGGCTATAGGGCTTTAAGGTGTAAGGTCTAGAGTCTAAACCCTAAACTCTAAACCTTAAACCCTAAACCCTAAACCCTAAACCCTAAACCCTAAACCCTAAACCCTAAACCCAAAGCCCTGAGTCTAGAGTTTGAGGCCTTACGGCTTTCAGGTCGGAGCGTTTTAGGCTTTGGAGCTACGGGCTTCCGGGTGCAGGAGGGCTTTGGGCTTAGGGTTTAGGGTTTAGGGGTTTTGGGTTTAGGGGTTTAGGGGTTTAGGAGTTTAGGGGTTTAGAGGTTTAGAGGTTTAGGGGTTTGCGGGTTTAGGGGTTTAGGGGTTTAGGGGTTTAGGGGTTTAGGGGTTTAGGGGTTTAGGGGTTTAGGGTTTAGGGGTCCCCTTCTTGGCATGGCTTCGTAAGCGGGACATTTGGGGCTCAGGGGATCAGCGCTTAGTGGGGTTACTACCAGCGTTAGCACGATGAAGCCCGAAACACCAAACTCTAAACCACTAAAAAAAGCTCAAACGCACGGCAATGGTTGAGCACGAGGTGATTGTTCCTCGAGCCCTCAGTCCTGCACCCCCAAACCCGATAACCCTGAGACGGAGGTGCCCCTGAAGCTAAACCCCCCACATCTAAAGGAGTTCACTACAAGACGGCCCTGGGAAGGACCCTACTTAAGCTCGGAACACCGGGTTGTTGAGAACCTAATTCCAGTTACGACCTTTGAGGGTGTAATACGAAACAATATGGCGTCCTGTTTCCTGATATTGATGACTTAACTTAAACTTCTGCACGCTTCATCTTCACGAACATGGGCGCAGAAAAAAGATTCCCGAAAGCCCCGAAGGCCCTAAACGCCGCAACGGCAACCCTAAAACTGTAGGAAAAGTCCCGAACCCCAAACCTTGCGCAGCAACCGCAAAGCCCTGATAGCCTAAACCCGGAGCCCGCGAGCCCTTCTCCTAAACCCACTGCGTAGTGCGACCCCAAGCCTCTAAAGCCTAAACCCGACCTATACTAGAGTATGAAAACCTAACATGATATCATATGGGAGTTTCCGAAAATTAGGGGTACCTTATTTTGGGGTCCTTATGATAAGGATCCTACTATTTAGGGTAGTATATTAGGGTCCCCTATTTTCGGAAAGCCCCATAAAACACAACATGGTTGAAGAAACGCCAAGATGCTGAGGCCAAGTGGTGATGAAGTCCTGCGGGCTCTGTAAAATTTCATTTGGGGTGTCTTTGAATCATCGGGGGGAGTTGGGATTAGGGGGTTTAGGGCAGGGCCGAGGGCAAAGGTGTCCGGTTTGGGGGCTCAGGATTCGGGTGAGTTTAACTTAACCCTAAACCCCTAAACCCGAAACCCAAAACCCCGAAGTTAGGGAGAGGAAACCCAAAACCCAGGAATCAGGGTGTCGGTGAAACCTGTACACCCTCCTAGCTGGCAATCTCGGCTTGAGGGCCTCCTGAGCTTATCAAGAAGGGTTCTACTGCTGATGAGATAAATCCTGCATTACCTTAGCGACCCTAAACTATGGGAATTAGGGTATACTACTTATCATGAGCAATGCAGGATTTAGACCATCAGCCGTATGTGGGCTCTACACAGGTTCTATGAGGGTTTGGGCTTTTCCATTGCTGGCCGGAAAGACTAAACCGCAAACCCCAAACCACAACCACCAGAACCCGACAACCTAGGCCTCTAGTTCCTAACCCCGAATTTCCTATATATAGATACAGTTCCACATTATGGTCCATGTACTAGAACATACTCCCATACACTCTTCGCAGTGGGGCCCCCTACATTCAAACACGCACAGAAGCCCTACATCAAAACGTCCCCGAACGAACCTCTGCTGATTAAGGGCCCTATCTTGAGCCGGGGACTGCAAGTCTCTGAGACTCCTATACGACGTACGGTTTAGGGTTTAGGGCTTAGGGCTAAGACCCTCAATCCTAAAGTGCCCTAAACCCAAAAAGGCCACAAAGACGTCAAGTCTCTGGCACCTTGTCTTCCCCGGAGGCCGGACGACCGCAACGCTCGCAAACAGCCATGAAATGGAAGGAGGCCTCAGTGGTCCCAGAAAAGGTTCTGCAAGGGGTTCTGTAGGGGGTCTGAAATGGGTTCGGTCCACAAGAGGTATAAGCGTTTAGAAGGATTTCAGGTGTATGCCTTGGTTTGGGGTTTAGCTGCAGGACTTGGGGCCTTGGGCTTAGGAGGCCCCCAAAATGTCGTTGTGAATAGTAGTAGTAGTAGTAGTAGTAGTAGTAGTAGTAGTAGTAAGTTAGTTAGTTAGTTAGTTAGTTAGTTAGTTAGTTAGTTAGTTAGTTAGTTAGTTAGTTAGTTAGTCAGTCAGTCAGTTAGTTAGTTAGTTAGTTAGTTAGTTAGTTTGTTTGTTTGTTTGTTTGTTTGTTAGTAGTAGTAGTAGTAGTAGTAGTAGTAGTAGTAGTAGAAAGCAGTAGTAGTAGCAGTAGTGATAGTAGTAGTAGTAGTAGTAGTAGCAGCAGTAGCAGTAGTAGCAAGAGTAGCCGGAGTAGCAGTAGTAGTAGTAGTAGTAGTAGTAGCAGCAGTAGTAGTAGTGGTAGTCGTCGTCGTAGTAGTAGTAGTAGTAGCAATAGTAGCACTAGTAGCAGGAGGAGCAGGAGTAGCAGTAGTAGTAGTAGTAGTAGCAGTAGTAGCAGCAGTAGCAGTAGCAGTAGCAGCAGTAGTAGTAGTAGTAGTAGTAGTAGTAGTAGGTGTAGTAGCAGCGGCAGTAGTAGTAGTAGTAGTAGTAGTAGTAGTAGTAGTAGTAGTAGTCGTAGTAGTAGTAGTAGTAGTAGTAGTAGTAGTAGTAGTGGCAGTAATAGCAGTAGTAGCAGTAGTAGCAGGAGTAGCAGGAGTAGTAGTAGTAGTAGTAGTAGTAGTAGCAGTAGTAGTAGTAGTAGTAGTAGTAGTAGTAGTAAGCAGTATTAGTAGCAGTAGTAGTAGTAGTAGTAGTAGTAGTAGTCTAATGTTTATATTTGTAGGAGGAGGAGGAGGAGGCGGAGGGGCAGTGGCGGCAGCTGCATAAGCAGGAGGAGGAAGGAATTGGGCAAGCAAGCAAGCAAGCAAGCAAGGAAGAAAAAAAAATAGTAAGGAAGGAACGAACAAGAGAAGACTGACAAGAACAACCACAACCATCGTAATACCAGGAAAATCGTCACTGGTAGCCGTGCGCCTTGTCAAGATGCGACTGACTGCCAGTTTTGAAAAAACCCGTAACCACTTGCTAGTGCCAAGATCGGATGAATAGGGATGATGTCTGCCGTTTCCTGCTCTATGCACAAGCTAGGAACCGCATGGGGGGTTTTGTGCAGCTCTTCTGGCGTAGCTAGCTTTTGTGGTGGAGTTTAAAGGGGGATAGTTACCAAACCCTCAACCCTCAATTCTAAACCCTATATAAACCCTGGGTTCTGAACTCAAACCCTCATGCCTAAACTGAGACCCCAGGAGCGTCGAAGAGACTTGGCATGAAGCTCGGCCCGCCTGCACCTGGGCAACGTTGAAGCAAACAGCCGGGGCCTTTCTCGGGAATAGGGTTTTGGGTTTGGGCTTATGTTACTTATGTTTGCAGTCTTGGGGATTTCGGAAGTCTAGCCCCCTCTTCGTCCGTTTATCATTCCACCTGATGTGGCTGAATTGTGGAAAAGCATGCAAATCCCTTTGAAGGTGCGACTGGAGGATATCGGCCCCGCCGTACATTCCGGCGTTTCCTCCCAGTTGCGCCGCCGTCGCAATGGTTCAAATATGGTAAGATTCGCCACATCCATGTAGCGCCAGACTACCCCAAATTACTGCGCGTGTTATTCTTACTGCCTTTTGCAGTAGTCTTGTGTTTGTCTCTATCTTGGCTATCTACATCACCATCGGCTTTTCTTTCATTGCAGTGGCAAGGCACAGCATTGCGATTGCGACAACTGTCCTGGATGTTGGATGGTGATCATGATGAGACGACAGGGACCATGCTGGCTGACGTTCACTTGCCCCGAAAGCCCGCAGACCTCTAAAATACGAGCCCTTTATTTGTAAACCCCTTATCTATAAACCCCGAACAAGCCCTTGTAAATCCATGCATTTAGAGCCCAGGCGCCACTGACGGTGCGCAGGAAGTAGATGCCGCCAAAGCCATTCCTCAGGTAGCTCAGGGTTTTTTGGGCTCAGAGGGTCGGGAGCTTCGGTTTGGAGCTCAGGCTTGTTAGGGTAGGGCTTAGGGTTTAGGGCTTAGGGTTTGGGGGTTAGGGCTTGGGGCTTAGGGTTTCGGGGTTTGGGCCTAGAGCTTCGGGTTCGGAGTGCAGAGTTTTGGGGCACCGGGCTCAGAGATTGAGGGTTTAGGGCACTGGGCTGGGAGTTTGGAGCGTGGTGCTAAGGCTTGGAAATATAGGGTTTAGGGTTTACGTTATAGGGTTTAGGGTATAGCGTGCAGGGTCCTCCCCCGGTACCGGCTCCTTAGCAAAAACAAGCTCCAAAGGTCCATAAGTTACAGCAGTCAGGGAGCTGTTCACTTTAGGCTCTTCTGTTTAGGGTTTAGGGTTTAGGGTTCAGGGTTTAGGGTTTAGTGTTTAGGGCCCTGCAAGACCGGATGTCTTCGGACTTGCGCGAGAAAGAATCTGCAGGACTCACGGTCTCAGGGCTTTGTAGGCTTCGAGTCTAGGGTTCCGGGTTTAGGGCTGCAGGGATTTCGGGTTTTGCTTAAGTTCCTACCTCCCTATCTGACATCTATATAAATCGACGCTGCACCTTGACCTACACCCTAAACCCTAAACCCTAAACCCTAAACCCTACCTTTCCTTATGCCGAGCGTCTGCTTGGCGAGCAGGTGCCAGTTGTTCATCATCGGCGCAAGCTTTTCCCCGATCTCCTCTGCATGTTTGTGGTGTCATGTAGAAGCCTCTATAATTAGAATAGGGTTTAGGGTTTAGGGTTTTTTGGTTTAGGGTTTAGGGGTTCGGGGGAGTATATTATACTACCACTATACTCAGGAACCCCCAAAATAGTAGGGGTATTATTTTGGCTCCTGTAATAGGCTGATGGTTTGTGTGACTGCCGGTGGCACTGAATAATAGAAGGGTTTACTGATTCTGTCTCAGCACGTAGTTTGCAGGCCACCCATCTTAGAGCCCTAGTGACCTAGCTACGGTTGAGGGTTTAGGGTTTAGGGCTGAGGGTTTAGGATATCAAAAGCTTCAGCCTCGACCCGAACCTAGGTAGGATATATAAGGATTCTGTGTGGGCTACATTCTCCAAGGGCTCTCCCAGATAAGGTGGCTCTAGGGGGTCTGGATTTGTGCCTGCATGCCACGCGCACACAATGCCTGGCTTGATTTTCGAGTCATGGGGAATGCAAGCCCTAACACTTCAAGCAAACTCTAAAAGAAACTGCCTCTGGACGCTAGCCCTCCCCTAACTAAGCTTTAAACGTTTAATCGTATACTTGGAGTTACAGGGAACCTGTGATGGGGTTGAAAGGTTGAACGAAGGCTTTGGCACTCAATAGGCCTCGCGGGAGCCTCTAGTGCTTCAGGTGCATATTCAGATCTGGCGCTTCGGTCTCCTAAACCCTAAACCCTAAACCCCCACACCCTAAACCTGCTAGTGACTGCAGTGAGATGCTCACCCCACCTGCTCACGGATGAACAACGCCCAGGTCGGAAACCCTAGACCCTAAACCTTACTGTAAACCCTAAACCCTAAACCCTACTGTACGTCCTGAACCCTAAACCCTACTGTAAACCCTAGACCCTAAACCCTAAGAACCTAACACCAGGGGATGGAACGACTGAAGAATTCTCAAGCTTTCAGCCTGGATGGGCATACCCTTTGCTTCGACCCACTGAGTGCACCCCCCAAGCTAACGACCTGGGAACTCGCGATGTGGCTGTGTTGGATGATACTTTTCTTGAATACAGCCTTGATGATAAAGATCACTATTAAGAAGGGTCTTGAGGATATTGAGTTTTAACTGTTAACGCTAGTGCTACTGTTACGGTTACTACTACTTGGTATTACTTCACCTTTCTGTCGGCGGGCTTTTCTTGTCCTTCTTATGACTACAACTGCCCTAAACCCTAAACCCTAAACCCTAAACCCTGAACCCTAAACCGTAGAATGACATGGTGCGAAGAGTTGAAAAGTTCCTTCAGGCCTACCGCCCCGCTTGTCCTGAGGGAAGTAGATTGCAAAGACCGGCTTGTTGTTGATCTTCTTGTAGTTTCCTTGGGTTTAGGGTTTAGGGTTTAGGGTTTAGGGTTTAGGGTTTAGGGTTTAGGGTTGATCTTCTTGTAGTTTCCTTGGCACTCGTAAGTTCTTTGTAGCCCTGCCCGCATCCGCCCGCTAGCAGACATCGTGCTCTCCCAAGCCGCAATGTTTTGGATTCACAACAGTTGGGACCTCTCAGCACTTTCGCGCGCCAGGATGCTCAATATCATGAGAGGTCCAGATGTCTAATGTAGGGGCCCTAATAATTAGAGTAGGGTTTTTGGGGTACAATAACCATACTAAGGAACCCCCAAAAGAGTAGGCCCTAAACCCTCAACCCTAAACCCTAAGGTAATTATTAAGGCCCCTGGATTATCCTCCCGGAAAACGAACCGAGGCCAAGTTGTTGGATCTCGGCCAGTCTTCGCTTCTGATCGGAAGTCCGTGAAAGGTTTAGGGCCCTGGAAACTTCGCTTCAGAGTTTAGGGTTTAGGGTTTAGGCTTTAGGGTTTTTTGTATAGGGTTTAGGCTTTAGGCTTTAGGGTTTACTGCTTAGGGTTTAGGGTTTAGGATTTAGGGTCTAGGTGCGGTGGAGAGTCAAGGGGCCTCAGGGTGGAGCCTGGAGTTCAAGCGAGTTTGGAATCCTTCCTCTGGCCTTCTCGTGCCCAGAGAGCTCAACACCCCTTCATTAAGGAATATACCTTAAATCATTATATTAAGGCCCCTTTTTATTTAAGGTATATTCCTGATTTAAGGGGTATTGGGCTCTCTGGGTAAGGGTTGAGGCTCGCGTTTCGAGATCTAGGGCTGCCCAAGCTCGATGCTGGAAGTAGGGCAGGAGGTAGTTGAAGTGCTCCTTCCATCCCGTCTCATTGGCGTAGTCCTTCCGACTCTGACAGTCAGGTTCGGGCTTGCAAGGCCCTGCTTTAGGGTTTAGGCTTTAGGGTTTAGGGTTTAGGGTTTAGGGTTTAGGGTTTGGGGTTTAGGGTTTAAGGTTTAGGGTTTAGGGCCCTGCCCCTGAATCCAGAACATGGAAATCCGGAATCACAGGGCGCACCACCAATCTTGGCAGAGCACCCCCTGAACCCCGAATGTAGGGGCCTTAGCAATTAGAATAGGTTTGTTTTTTTTTGTGGGGGGGGTCCTTAATGTTAATATAATATGCCCCAAACCCTATTCTAGTTATTAAGGCGCCTATATTAAACCCTTATAGTAGCCATCATTATATAGTAACCCCTTTAAAGGAACCCTTAAAGGAACCCCATTCTAATTATGAAGGCCTCTACTGCTCCAGATCCTGAAGTTCCAACCGTCACTACAAGACCCTGAATGACCAGGACGAGCACGTCCTCAAGCGCAGAAAGCTGAGAATCCAAGATCACCATACCCAAGCAATGAATCCTCAAATCCCCAAAAAAACCTAACTCCCTAAAGTCCTCGAGCTTTACATCCCTCCAAGATCTTTACACCCTGAATCCTAAGCCCTGAATCTGGGCCCTTTGCTCGAGGGACCAAGTGACCAAGCGGGCTTCTTTCAAACTCTTGCGTCAGTACGAACATCTAGCTCAGCTTGGAGTATCCGAGTTGGTTATGCTCGGCTTAAGATAACCTACTGCTATCAGTCTCACGTTGATTGTAAATATCTTGGGACTTCAACTGTAAGCCCCTCTGGCAGAACACCGAACCGGAAACGTGAGGTGTAAACCCAAAACCCGACCAAGCCCCACCTCACCCCAGTCACCCCGACCCCACACCGGGTGCATGCCTGTTCGATCAAGACCTCTCCGGTGGCGTGCTCGCCGTAGCCACGTTCCCAACGCCTTCCCCCAAGCAGACGCACGATGCTTTCTGATGGAAGGCAGTTCAGACAAGAAAATAGATCTTGGATTGCTGGAGTCAAGAGCAGAGGCATGCCTGTCTGAATCCCTCCCGGAAAGAGGCTTCACGCTTTAGACCGATGCGAGAACGTGAGCGCGAGCACCTTTGCATTCGCGTTCGTTTGCACTGCGCATTAGTGTGCACATGCCCTTGCACGTGCGTGTGTCCGTGTGGGTGTGCAAGTGGGTGCGGATGCGGCTGTGCCTGCGTGTGTGCTGTCGCACATGTCAGTGTGCGCGTTTATTCATGCATACATGCGTACATGCTCTGACTACATGTACCCCGATGCTAGCATATCTACACATGTATACATATACATATATATATATATATCCGCCGACC